GTAGCTAGCTGAATATTTGACTTGCTAGCTAAATATTTAAGTTGCAAGCTAAACATTTAGCTCAAAACTAAATAAAGACACAAGTTAAATATTTATTTAGCTCAAAACTAAATAAAGACACAAGTTAAATATTTAGCTTGTTAACTAAATATTTGGTTTGTAAGTTAAATATTTAGTTTATAAACTGACATTTATGAATCATATGGTGAAAAACTGACTTTGAAAAATAAATCTGTTCTTTTCTTATAAAAGGCTAAATAAAACAAAAATATTGGTGGTAATTTTTGACGGTGTACCTTTACAAATGGCACCCCATAAATACCTACCAGCAAAACCTAATCTGGGGTTACTAGATACTCATCCTGGCTCTGATGGTCTTCCACACAATTTTTAGATCTGTACAGGGTAATTTGTGCAACCTGAGCTACCAGATGTAGATACAAGTCGTAATGTGTTCTCTGCCTGTCCAGGCAGGAGAACCACAGGATTTTCTTTGACAACTTGTTTACCAGTGTCTCTCAGACACATTGGCTCAACAAGGAATTCAGTGTACTGGGACTATTCATGGCAACAGACTACCAAATGTCAACTATATGTGTGAGTCTGAGTTGAAGMTGTATCTTCTGAACAGAAGACGTACATTGGTGGAGAACCCACTTTGTGTTGACGTGGTACGATAACTGTTGAGTCAGTCTTCTCAGGTACAGGCGATCTCAGTCTTGATTGRTGGGATGGTAAGAACAAGAAAATGAACCTCTCTCCTGTCAGAGAATACAATAAGAACATGGGGTGGATCTGATTGACTCATTGAACCACATCACAATAATATTAGRTCAAAAATGTGGTACCATCAGTTCAATTAGGCAAAGTTTCTGAGGCTGCATTCAGAAAGTGGTTCTGATCTTTCTTTTATATTGCTCTGATGTGAGCCATATCTGCTTTTATGACAACCCTTTTCATACTTAGTATTAAACTGGACACACATCTGGTAGTTTTCAGTGGACAGTCATGTTGCATTTTATCCAACTTTAGTCACGGGTAGAGCTATACCACATAATATACAAATAGTATACCACTGTATTTTCATTGTGCTTAGCGGTACAATTACAAATAAAAGCAATCTGAATCTAAATAAGAGTTGACTAAACCTGCACCAACAATGTCAGATCATATCAATAATGATGAGATCGATGTTATAATTAGTTTCTACTTTCAGTCGTTTTCGTCCCAGAAGTGATTTCTGAGCTGGATTGGGCAGGAGGCAGTAAAAGCTAATAAAAATGAGTCAAAACAAGTACAGGTAATAATTAACTAAGACTTGCAATGTGAAACCCTTTGCATGGCAGACCTTTTTAACATAAAATCAGCTTGGTCTTCGTCTAGTTGCATAAAAATGAGTTTTGACTAGGAACAATTACATTTTCAAAGGTAATTTATCTGTATTTACATTTTAATTAGTCAGAAGAACAAATCAAGATATCTCAAATGACGTCACTGGATTTGTCGTTTGAATTGTCAAACATTCCTATTGTATTTTATGATACCTCAAACATAATTATGACAAGTCAAAATAATTATTTTGATACTTGAATTAAGAAATAAGCTCTCCTGCAGTCACTTAGCTGCAGTGAAAGACAAATTATCTGTTTTCTTAATCCAAGTTAAGCTGTAGAGATAAAAATCATCTAACAGGAATTTTAGTTGGACAGATCTGACACTGCAGGCCACTGAACAATAAATTAATGTAAGGCAGGAAACTTTCTGCCAAAAAGCTAGATAAATCTGTGACGTTTTGATTAGATTAATTAT